TGTCATGTGTGGCCATGTGCGGGCTTGTTGCATCATCGCCATGTCTGCCACATACCCCATGGACATGGTTCGAGGGCGCCTCACCGTGCAGGTGGGATGGGTTGGATTCTTCTGTCATGTGTGGCCATGTGCGGGCTTGTTGCATCATCGCCATGTCTGCCACATACCCCATGGACATGGTTCGAGGGCGCCTCACCGTGCAGGTCGGTGATGGGTATGGTGGGTGGGATGGACAAGTGCGGTGATTCTGTGAATGCGTATGAGTTTGTAGACAGGCATCATCGCCATGCCAGCCACATACTCCGTGGCGTGGCATGATACAGGTGCGGTGCCCCTCACTTCGCAGGTGCGCCATGTGGCGTGGCATGGCATGGCATGACATGGCTTGAGATGGGATGACATGACATGGCACGGCATGGCATGGTTGTCTACGGACCTTGTCCCCTTCTGCCCTTCTCACATCTTCTCTGCGCATGCTCCCACCATCAGCTTACCACCACTAGGCCATGCGCCACCATGCCATGTGCACCAACCATCCTTCTCACCCCTTCCATCCTCTCATGACAATCACATTGCTTCTCCCCTTTCCCGCCTCCCGTGCCCAACCCCGCCTGCCCATCTACCTTACCCACCCACCAGTCCGGCAGGAAGGGGGAGCAGCGCTACAAGGGCATGCGTCATGCAGCGGTGACTATAGTGAAGGAGGAGGGCGTTCGCGCCCTCTATAGGGGCTGGTTGCCGTCCGTCATCGGTGTGGTGAGTGACGGTTCTGCCATAGTTAGTTAGTGGATGTGACTATAGTGGAGGAGGAGGGCGTGCGCGCCCTGTATAAGGGCTGACTGCCTTCTATTAATGGCGTAGTGAGTGGTTCCTGTCATGGTTGATTGCAGTGAAAAATGTTCTGGTAACTGATTGTTTCGACCAGCGTCTACAGTGGAAAGATATCCACTCTTTGCGGGATATCATATCCACTCTTTGCGGGATATCATATCCACTCTTTGCGGGATATCATATCCACTCTTTGCGGGATATCATATCCACTCTTTGCGGGATATCATATCCACTCTTTGCGGGATATCATATCCACTCTTTGCGGGATATCATATCCACTCTTTGCGGGATATCATATCCACTCTTTTCGGGATATCATATCCACTCTTTGCGGGATATCATATCCACTCTTTGCGGGATATCATATCCACTCTTTGCGGGATATCATATCCACTCTTTGCAGGATATCATATCCACTCTTTGCGGGATATCATATCCACTCTTTGCGGGATATCATATCCACTCTTTGCGGGATATCATATCCACTCTTTGCGGGATATCATATCCACTCTTTGCGGGATATCATATCCACTCTTTGCGGGATATCATATCCACTCTTTGCGGGATATCATATCCACTCTTTGCGGGATATCATATCCACTCTTTGCGGGATATCATATCCACTCTTTGCGGGATATCATATCCACTCTTTGCGGGATATCATATCCACTCTTTGCGGGATATCATATCCACTCTTTGCGGGATATCATATCCACTCTTTGCGGGATATCATATCCACTCTTTGCGGGATATCATATCCACTCTTTGCGGGATATCATATCCACTCTTTGCGGGATATCATATCCACTCTTTGCGGGATATCATATCCACTCTTTGCGGGATATCATATCCACTCTTTGCGGGATATCATATCCACTCTTTGCGGGATATCATATCCACTCTTTGCGGGATATCATATCCACTCTTTGCGGGATATCATATCCACTCTTTGCGGGATATCATATCCACTCTTTGCGGGATATCATATCCACTCTTTGCGGGATATCATATCCACTCTTTGCGGGATATCATATCCACTCTTTGCGGGATATCATATCCACTCTTTGCGGGATATCATATCCACTCTTTGCGGGATATCATATCCACTCCCGCGCTCTTCCTTCCCCTCATTCCGCATCCCATCCCTTTTCCTGTATTCCTTCTGCCCCATTCCCCATTGCTCCCCCATGAATCAGGTCCCCTACGTGGGGCTCAACTTTGCAGTTTACGAAACCCTCAAGGACCAGCTGGGAAGAATGTACGCGGCACAGCACCCCGACAACCCCGAGATCGGGGAGCTGTCAGTCCTCACAAAACTCGCGTGCGGGGCTGTGGCGGGCACTCTGGGGCAGACAGTCGCCTACCCCCTGGATGTGATTCGAAGGAGGCTGCAGATGGTGGGTTGGCGGGACGCGGCGAGTGTGGTGAGGGCGGATGGTACGGTGGCTGCGGCGCCGCAGTACACGGGCATGGTGGATGCTTTCCGGAAGACCGTGCAGATGGAGGGGGTGCGGGCGCTCTACAAGGGACTCGTGCCCAATTCTGTCAAGGTGAGATTGGCTCTTGCTGGTTCGGAGGGAATCCGAGTGAATCTGAGGGCAAGCAGGGAAGGCAGTGCACCGCAGGTAAGCAGGAAACAGGGAGTGCAGTGGGTGTGGTGAGGGCGGATGGTACGGTGGCAGCGGCACCGCAGTACACGGGCATGGTGGATGCTTTCAGGAAGATTGTGCAGATGGAAGGGGGTAAAGGCGCTTTACAAGGGACTCGTTCCCAACTCTGTCAAGGTGAGATTTCACACTCTGTGTCGAAGGGTGTGAAGGTGAAGCTGTTTTGAGCCGGTTTAGTTCCTGTGCGCTGAGCTGAGAGGAAGCGCGATGGAAATCTGAAGTGAACATAAGGGCAAGCAGGGAGCAGGCAGGGCACTGCAGTGGGTGTGGTGAGGGTGGACGGCACGGTGGCAGCGGCACCGCAGTACACGGGCATGGTGGATGCTTTCCGGAAGACCGTGCAGATGGAGGGTGTGCGGGCGCTAAGGGGCTCGTGCCCAACTCTGTCAAGGTGAGAGAGACTCGCTTGTTCTAGTTGGGTTTCTGTCGAATTTGCTGAATTCTGCCGAGGTGAGACTGGGTTGTGTGTTGATGCAGCCGCACACGTTGGTGTGTTGGTGTTTGTTTTGAGACGTCTCAAAACTACACTTGAAACACACAGCCGCACACGGTGTGCTGGTGTTTGTTTTGAGACGTCTCAAAACTACACTTCAAGCACACAGCCGCACACATTGGTGTGTTGGTGCTTGTTTTGAGACGTCTCAAAACCACACTTCAAACACACAGCCGCACACGTTGGTGTGTTCATGTTTGTTTTGAGACGTCTCAAAACCACACTTCAAACACACAGCCGCACACGTTGGTGTGCTGGTGTTTGTGTATTGTTCCCTGCCCTGCCTCCCCCCCTCCCCCCCTCTTCCCCTCTCCGCTCCCCCCCATTCCCCGTCGCACCCCCACGGCCTCTGTATGAGACACGATGCGGAGCCATCAGCCATCAGCCATCAGCCGCTGTTCCCCGTCGCTGTCGCTGTTGTCGGCAGAGTGAGAAGCCCGCCTTTCTAAGTGCTTTTGAGTCGACTCAAAAGCATGTTTATCGTGTTTTTCTGCCCCTCTGTTCCTGTGTATCACAACAGGTGGTACCTTGTATGGCCATTTCTTCTGTGACGTATGAAAGCATGAGGGACCTGCTCATAGTGCGTCCATCTTTCGAAACTCGTGTTTCTGTTCCCCTGTGGCCCCATTTGTCGCGCCAGGTGGTGCCATCCATTGCCATTGCGTTTGTCACGTACGAGGTCATGAGAGATCTTCTCCACGTGGAAATCCGCATCTCTGACTGACACGGCACGGCACGGCAGCCGATTTAACGCCACCACCAGCCGGCATTTCCTCCCGCTCGAATCTCTGTACCAGCTTTGACTATTTCAGTGCAAGTGTGGATCTTTGTCGGTGGACATACGCATCCCGCTGTTGATAACTTCAATGGGGTGTGAGGGATGACACTACTGTAGGCCTAGGTAGAAGTGCAATAATCGGCAATAACAAACCTTGAACAAGGTTTGTTCATTATAAGAGCTATGGGACAGTGTTAAGAGTACTATCGAAGACAAGCGAGCAAGCTTATGGGGGTAAAGGATAACAGTGTGTAAGCGAATGCACGAGCAAACACTACACAGCAAAAAGCATCAGTGGTATGGTGCAAAGTTAAGCTAGGATATGCAATGTGACAGCGAGGCTCAGGGTATAGGCACCATCTGCAGGCTCAGCCTTATACAGCGGAGCAAGCTTTTGGTGAAGGTATAGGTGACTTATATGAGTCGACTCAAAAGTCACCTCAACATTGGCTCGCTCAGCCTCTCAGCCTTATACAGCGGAGCAAGCTTTTGGCGAAAGCATTCGCGCTTGATTCCGTTTTGAGGCGCCTCAAAGCGAGGCTCAGGGTATGGGCACCATCGGCAGGCTCAGCCTTATACAGCGGAGCAAGGTTAGGTGCTTGCATGCGCGCTGGATTCAGTTGGCATGGCGATTCCTCCATGGATGAGGATCTCAATTTGTTGAGAACCTTGCAGATGGATGGAGTTGTGAGACAACTCGAAACTCAAACTTCTATCATGTGGTCCTGTGGCCGAGAAGAGGGTTTCGTTGGGGTAAACAATAGCAGGCAGGGGGTAGCTAGCAGGCAATCCTAAATCAGCTTCCCACAACTGATAGGGGCAATAAACAGATCAGCTATGGCTGATCCAATCGCAGCAGCACAGACGTCATAGCATCAGCTTTATGCAACGTATAGGGGAGGTTCGAGAACAGCTATATACAAAATTGTACAGTGTATGGGTGAATTTCAAGAACAGCTAGATGCAACCAAGTACCTACATGCCATGCTGAATTTCAAACCACCTGCGTTCAAGCTGGCATGTTGTTTTCATGTCACCATGGCTCATGTCTCCATGCTGCCATTCCGCTATGCTGCCATTCCGCTATGCTGCCATTCCGCTATGCTGCCATTCCGCTATGCTGCCATTCTGCTATGCTGCAATTCCGCTACACCACCATGCCACCATGCTCTCATGCCATGCTCTCATGCCACGCTCTCATGCCATGCTCTCATGCCACGCGCTCACACCATCATGCGAGGAACACGGAGGCAGCCTGTGTGTTGAGCCAGAGGCGCAGGTCCTCCCTGTCGACACACAGCCCCTGCAGCGCGCTCGTGCCATGCAGCCTCTCTCCCTTCAGCCCCAGCGCCTGCAGCATTGCCTCCATCGTCCCTTGGAGGTCTGGGCATGGCTCCTGTGGTGGAGCCTCGTCCGCTGCTTGCGACTGAACAAAGAGAGATGGCAGATGGGCAATTGAAAATGGGAGATGGGAGATGAGAGATGGGAGACAAGGGATGGGAGATGGGACATTCGAGATGTATGCTGTGAGGGAAAAGACGTTAAAAAGTCAAGTGCGTATAACACAGCACGTGGCAAGCATTTCCTTGCCTTGCCTTGAACTCTACTGCAGGTAGACCAGCATGTGATCACATAGTTAAGACACAATGACACCATAAGCCACTATGTGCATAGAATGACTTTTGGGACGTCTCAAAAGTCGTAGTTTTGTCACCACGGCATCATGTGCATGAAATGTCATGCACACGCGTTGCAGCGCAACAACAAAATCCCTGGGCACGTAATGATCTGATCGGTGCGAGCTGCAAGCCCCATCCATTCACAACACAATATGCCATGCCCCACCCACCTGTGCGTGCAATGTGTGATAACTCGATTTTTGAGTCGACTCAAAACTCGGCATGTAATGATCTGATTGGAGCAGCATGCAAGCCCCATTCATTCACAGCAACGGAATGCCATGCCCTACCCACCTGTGCGCGCAATGTTGCTGCTGTGACGGTAACCAGGTTGCTGCTGTGACGGTAACCAGGTTGCGCAGCAATGCGGCATCACAACCAATCAACGAGAAGGCGGGGCGCAGAAGCAACGTTCTGAGGCGCCTCACAAGACACACATCACCCACCTGTCGATACAAGGTTGCCGTGACAATAACCAAGTTCTGCAGCCACGAGGCATCATTACAGCCAGCAGTGGAGGAGGAGGCGAGATGCAGAAGCAGCGAAAGCAGCGCCGCAGCCGCGACAGGGCGAGTGCAGTCGACCACGTAAAGCCTGAGAGGGTGAATTGGCGGGCCAAGGAAGTTCAGGTACTTAACAGTCGGCACAACACCTGAGAGGCGTGAACTAGTGGGTGGAAAGTTGGAATGTACAAGAAGGGGCATAAAGAAATGCCACCAAACAGGTTATGTGTGGAGCTTTGGGGAACTCATGAGAACTCACACGCACCATCAAGCACATGGGAACAGCTATTGTAATGATCTCTCATTGAACTTACGTGAAAGGATCTGCAGTCAAAGCCGGGGGAAAGACGCCCTTAGCTGCTGCCTCTCTGAAGATAGACACTGCTGCTTGTAGCGCTGATAGGCAGGTGAGGGAAAGGGGGGGAGACAGAGCGAGAGAAGGGGATGGATAAGCATATGCGAGCATGGGATCAAGGAAGGGGAGAAAGGCCAGCCCCACGCGGTATCCCAGGGGTCACCCTGACTCATGCTTCGAAGGGCTGCAGTAGCAGAGAGGAACATGAGTCAGGGTGACCCCGGGGACAAAGGCCAGCCCCACGCTTTCTATGAATTGACTGACCCTGTTGCTTGCAGAGCTAGCGACAGAATTGGGAGCAGCGACAGTGAAGGAGGAGAAGGGTAGATGTGAGCATGCGGACACAAGGAAAGCAGTGAAAAATCACATGTTTTCACGTGCGCATGACGGCAGCACTGACAAATCACAGGACTAGACAAACGCAACACACATGTGCCAATCATGTAGGAACAGAAAGAATCTCCCTCATCCCCGCTCCGCGTCATCTAATCTCATGCCAATCTAACCTGGAGTGAACTTGAGCGTTTTCCCCTCCTGCATCGCGTCCCGTATCACGGGATCAGCTCCGTCCGGCCCGAAGCAGGCGTCAAACAGCCGAGTGTAGGTGTCCATTGACGGCTGGTGCGGGTGCTGGTGGAATAGAGGGGGGCCCGGGGAGAGGGAAGGAGCGGGAACGTGGCCGTTTTGAGGCGTCGTAAAGAGGGAAGGTGGGCGTTTAGCCTCCATGCACCGCGTCTCATATGGACGTTCAAATCAATAGGTAAAGGCTTACCTCCATCTCGCCCTTCGTGCTGCCTTGCATCTCATTAAACGTCTCCACAGCCGCCTCCCACTCCCCTGCCCTGCCCTGAGCATTGATGAGCGCGGTATACACCACTGCTGTGACCTCCACTCCGCCATCCTCCATCTCCCTCCTCAACGCGATCGCCCGTGCTGCATCGCCATCCCTGGCACACACTGCCATGAGCCCCTGGTACGTTGCCTCGTCTGGTTCGGGACCCCACCGCTGCATGCCATCGTAGCACTGCCATGCCACAGAAGAAACGGTGATGAAAGTGAAAGGGCAGTGTCTTGCAAGCCGCCTGTGCCCAGTGCTTACATCCAATCGATTGCTGCGAGAGGCAAAAACCAACTGAGATTGATAGGCGAACTTCGCATGGCACCACAGCATTCTCACGACAAGGCTGTCTGTCTGTGTGAGGCTTAAAGGCTTTAAGGAAAATGTGATATAGTTTAGAACACAGACAGCCTTTAATGTAAAGGATCTGCTCCCCAAGCCACCTCCCTATTCCTCCTCCCTCCTCTTCCTTGTGCTCACCCCGTAAGCCACGAAGGCAGGGGCGGAGGGCACGGCAGCCACGGCGTGGATGAGCTTGTTCCAAAAAGGCGGGTCCAAGTCGCATGCAAACCCACTCGCTGACATCAGCTTGTACGCTCGCAACGCCCCCTCAGGATCCCCTGCCTGGAGAAAGTGGGGGAGAGATGGTGGTGAAAGAGTTATATGACATTCTTTTGTGAACTAAAGTCTAGTTTAATGATTTTTAAGTCGAGATAGTGCTTAGCTGGCAAACGGCCGGCTGGAAACAGCACGTGAAGGCTGGCTGCAATGACCAGTTGAGTGTACATGCATCAAGACTGCCTTTTAGGTGTCTTTTGAATGCATACACTTCAGACCATACAGTGAAGCAATCATCTGGGCAGGTGAAATAATGCTACAATGAATGCAGATGAATCGCTCCTCAAGGCTTGCTGCAATGGCCAGGTTGAACGTTTCTGCATCGGGACTGCCTTTCTCGATAGCTTCCATCAACAGCTCACGACCCCATGCCGTATCCTCCTGCAGCGAAAGAAATGGATCATGTGGACAAGCATTGCGGAGAATTAGACTAAATGAGCAAGATGGCATTACCAGAGCCACGGTGGGAGGACAGCGAGTCTATTTCTACATTACGCTATACCTGGTAAGGTAAGCGAGTAAAGGGAGCACATCAGTTAACATGCCTTACATCAGTCAACAAGATCGCTTTTGCTTGCATTTCCTTGAGTGACTCCACAACTGCCTCCCACATCCCCGCCTGGCGCTGCATGGCCATGAGCGCACGGAGCACTTCCCCCGTCACCTCCACGTCGCCATCTGCCACCTCCCTCCTCAGCGCAGTCGCCCGTGCTGCATCGCCTTTCTCGATGGCTTCTGTCAGGAGCTCGCAACCCCATGCCTTTTGCTCCTGCGGTGGAAGAGAGTTGAAATGCGGTTGTGAGACAACTACAGGAGCCACGGACGTGGGACGGGACCCCGAACAAAAAAAAAAAAGAAAAAAGAAAAGAAAAAAAAAGCATCGAAAGAAGAAGCGAAAGCCAGAAGCAGCAAAGTCTTGGCTTCAAAAGAAGTCTGGATTAAACATACGCACACAGAAGAAGCATATCGGCTACCAGGCCTCACATCAGTGCACAGGGTCGCCTTGGCTTGCATCTTCTAAAGTTTGTACATGAATGCATGCATGAATGCTTACATCAGTCGAGAGCACAGCCTTTGCTTGCATCTCCTTCAGAGTCTTCACAGCCGCCTCCGACAGCCCTGCCTGGCGCTGCATGGTCAGGAGCGCATGAAGCACTGCTGCTGTCACCTCCACTCCACCATCCTGCATGTCTTTCTTGAGAGCCATCGCCCGTGCTGCATCGCCATCCCTGGCACACACTGCCATGAGCCCCTGGTAGGTTTCCGGGTCTGGCGTGGGACCCCATCTCTTCATGCCCTCGTAGCACTGTTGCGGAAACAAAGACAGTGACGAGGCGAGGAGTAGAGTGAAGGCGAGGAGGTGGTGGAGTAAACTTTAGAGTCGACTCAAAAGTCAACGCGGAATCAAAGACAGTGGCGAGGAGTAGAGTGAAGGCGAGGAGGTGGTGGAGTAGATCAGCAGCAGGTGACGACTAGTAGATCAGCAGCAGGTGACGACTCGTAGATCAGCAGCAGGTGACGACTAGTAGCTCAGCAGCAGGTGACGACTAGTAGATCAGCAGCAGGTGACGACTAGTAGATCAGCAGCAGGTGACGACTAGTATATCAGCAGCAGGTGACGACTAGTAGATCAGCAGCAGGTGACGACTAGTAGATCAGCAGCAGGTGACGACTAGTAGATCAGCAGCAGGTGACGACTAGTAGATCAGCAGCAGGTGACGACTAGTATATCAGCAGCAGGTGACGACTAGTATATCAGCAGCAGGTGACGACTAGTAGATCAGCAGCAGGTGACGACTAGTAGATCAGCAGCAGGTGACGACTAGTAGATCAGCAGCAGGTGACGACTAGTAGATCAGCAGCAGGTGACGACTACTATATCAGCAGCAGGTCTCACAAACAGACGAGTTATGTAAGGGCTGTGAAGGACGGCAAAGAGTTAGAAAGCAGGATAGGTGGGCAAGGGAAGAGGTAGCCTTGAACCTGAAACGAAGAAAGATAGCGATGGGCAGTAGATGGGCCAATGATTGCTAATGACCGGCACTGGCCCAATGCACTCTACATGTATTACAAAGCACCCTATCAGCCTCACTCACCCCATAGGCCACGTAGGCAGGGGCGGAGGGCACAGCAGCCACGGCAAGGATGAGCTTGTTCCAAAAAGGCGGATCCAAGTCACTCGCCAAGCCATTCGCCGACATCAGCTTGTACGCTCGCAACGCCCCCTCGTGATCCCCTGCCTGGAGAACCAACCAGAGAGGGTTACGGGTTGGGTAAGGCTATAAAGAGGGGGACACACTTATGAGATGTCCCAATGAAAGACTATCAACAACAGCCTTAACCTCGCCTGCAGGTTGATTTCAATCAGCAGGTTAAAGAACTCTGCACCGAAACAAATGCTCACAACAGCCTGCACCAGAGGCTCTGAAGCATTGACTTTGACTCCTCTCAAAAGCTATCAAGCCTGGACAATCTTCACCTCTCACACACCTACAGGTGGATTTCAATGAGCAGGTTCAACTCCTGAGCATCAAACAGCCGTTCTTCACAGCTTTCATCAAGAGCTGCAGCACTCGCTGACTATATCAGTCAGATGTCCCAATAAAAAAAATGCCGACAGGCTTCACCTCGCTCACACTCACCTGCAGGCTGATTCCAATGAGCAGGTTGAAGAGCTCTGCATCCGTTTTTGTGTCGACTCAAAAACAGATTCCAGTGGGCAGGTTGAAGAGCCCTGCGCCTGTTTTTGTGTCGACTCAAAAACAGATTCCAGTGGGCAGGTTGAAGAGCTCTGCGCCTGTTTTTGTGTCGACTCAAAAACAGATTCCAGTGGGCAGGTTGAAGAGCTCTGTATCGGAACAGCCACTATCAGCAGCAGCCATCAAAAGCGGAAGACTTCATTGGCGCATTTGAGGCGCCTAAAAAAAAAACCATTGGCGCTTCAGATGTCTCAGTCAAAAGCCTACCAGTAAACCTTCAACGCACCTGCAGGCTGGTTTCGATGAGGAGGTTGAAGACCTCTGGGTCGACACAGCCACTCTCAGTAGCCTCTGATAGGAGCTGGAGCACTGGAGGAGGCGTGTCTGCCTGCAATGGAACGGGAGGGACGATCCAGGTAGACAGAACTTTTGAGGCCATGAGAAACAACTTGACACTCTCAGGTGGAGGAGGAAAAAAGGCATGGCACAGTGTGACAGTGTCCCGTCCTTGTTTCGTCCCATCACCCACATCAATAATGTGAGAATGGTGGAGCGGAGCGATAGCCAAGAAATGACTTTTCAGACGTCTCGAAACTCAACCAAAAAGCACACCAGCAACAATTTGCCACTGTTGAGCTTGCCTCGTTTGCAGTGTTAGTAGGGGTAGACGGTGCAATCACGGTCCTCGCAAATTGGGTGAGCTTGCTCCAGAAAACCGGATTCAATTCATGTGCCAAGCCATTTGCTGCCATCAGCTTGTACGCTCGCACCGCCCCCTCGTGATACCCTGCCTGCAGAGGGCACATGGTGTGAGGGAGCGGAGCGGATGTGAGAGGGAAAAGAACAGGCAGTGGACACTCAGTTGCTGCCATCAGCTTGCACGCTCGCACCGTCCCCTCGTGGTCCCCTGCCTGCAGAGGGTGAGGGAGGGGACACACACGCACGCGGCGCGCTCATGAGTGTTTGTGTTTGTCCGTGTGCGGTTCAGGGTGAGGGAGGGGATGAGACGAGTGACAAGTAGAGAAAGACGCACAATGGGAAGCCGGCAAAAGGGAAGAGAGGGAGGAAATGCCTTTTAAAGGAATTCTGCAAGGTTGATTTTGCACCAAAAAAAAAGAAAGAAAGAAAGAAAGAAAGAAAGAAAGAAAGAAAGCAACCTGAAGGAAAAGGAACGTTCTAGTGGCCATTGAGGCGCATAAAGAAGTGTATCAAAAGTTCGTGACACCTCAAAATCTCTACCTTTGAATTTTCCAACACACACACACACCTCTACACTTGCTTCAATGAGAAGATTGAGGGTCTTCGCATTAGGGCGAACTTTCTCAGCAGCTTCCTTCAGGAACTCACGACCCCATGCCGCATCCTCCTGCAGTGAAGGACAAATTTCAAATAAACTGGTGATTTAAAAGGTGGATGAAGTGAAGGAAAGTAGCGTGCGAAAGAGATCGATGAGAGCAAGGAGACTAGATTTATATTAAGATCCAGATAGCCTCGTCCAGCAACGACAGGCGAAAGCACCTCCTGCAACTTCCCTCAGGGCTGAGAAGAGTACTCACAAGCATGCAGCAACTACCTCTAACAAACTAGCAGCATATGGCATACACACACACATCAACCGGTGCTCACATCGGTTGAGAGCACCGCCTTGGTTTGCATCTCTTTGAAGGTTTCCACAGCGGCCTCCCACATCCCCGCTTTGCGTTGCATGGCCATGAGCGCACGGAGCACTTCTCCCGTCACCTCCACTCCGCCATCCTCCATCTCCCTCCTCAGTGCCATCGCCCATGCTGCATCGCCATCCCTGGCACACACTGCCATGAGCCCCACGTACGTGTCTAGGTCCGGCTAGGGTCCCCATGTTTGCAATGCATCATAACACTGTGGGACAGAATGGGAGGGGAGGCGGAGGAGGAGTAGACTCAGAACAGTGGGGAAAGGTACGGACCTTCAGGTTGATGAGAAGGATGGATCTAAGAGGGAGAAAAGACAATTCAGTGACATTTTCGTGGGTTCAGTTGGTCCATCTCCCGGAAACATACCAAGCTGGCATATGGCAGTTCCGAAGACCGAAGACAAAGTTGTGTTCCAGTATTGCCTGGAAACAGAAGGCTAGTTTTGCCTTCTAGAAAAGTAGATACAAATAAGTAAGCAACGGAACGGCCACAATGTATACGAGAATCAAGCCCTCGTGCTCTGCTCACCCCGTAGGCCACGTAGGCAGGGGCGGAGGGCACGGCAGCCACGGCATGGATGAGCTTGTTCCAAAGCTCTGGCTCCAAGTCGCGTGCAAACCCACTCGCTGACATCAGCTTGTATGCTTGCAACGCCCCCTCGTGATCCCCTGCCTGGCGAGGGAAGTGCGGTAACGGAGGGGGACACAAGTGGGGAAACTTTAGCACGACACTCTTTGGCCGTGCAGTGAGGTGTCTTTTGAGGCGCCTCAAAAGACACCTAACTTAGCAAGACACTCTTTGGCCGTGCCTTCCTGACGGTTTCCAATATAATGAAAAACAGCACCTTGAGATTGACGCCAATGAGGATGTTGAATGTTTCGGCATCGGGTCGGGCATTCTTGTCTGCTTCCAGCCCGTGATAGAGGCGCCACGCCATTTCAAGTTGAACCTGAACCTGCTCAGTTGAAGTTTGCTCAGCTTGAACCTGCCAGAATAAGAAGATGGGTTACAAGAAGAGAACAGTCAGCGAGATTTAGAGTTTTAGATGGTCGATGGTCGACGGGGCGGGGCAGGGCAGGGCAGGGCAGGGCAGGGCAGGGCAGGGCAGGGCAGGGCAGGGCAGGGTAGGGCAGGGCAGGCCGGAAAAGCCTTGTTACACCACCAAATGCCTAGAAATTGCCTTGCCATGGCAGATATTGTATAACATCACTCAATCCATGCACCTTAATTTTAGATGATACATACATCAGCTCTTCAAGGAGGAGAAAAAAAGGGGGCCGGGGGATTGGAGGAGGAACATAGGAAGGGAAGGATTGGGATAAGGGAGCGAGGGAAGGAGGGAGGGGGGACGAGTGAAGAGGTGGGAGATGTGTGTCGACTCAGATCAAGGTGTGAAAACTAGAACATCTATCAACATAAAGGTTTTGGCACATTCATCCCGAACCGAAGGGAGTCGGCAGAGGAGAGGGAGAAGAGGAAAGGGAAGGAGACGGCATCATGTGAGCCAACTCACATTCGCTTGTGAATCACTAGCAGCACACAGATCAATGAATTTGTTGTAATAGAGAGTGGTGCTGGAAAGAAAATCTTCCTCTTCATCCTCGTGATTCTCTTGATCCTCCCAACCAGCCGAGTCCAGTAAGATCTACGCACGGGAGCCAAGGGACGGAAAGAAGGAATGAAATAGGAACGCATATGGTATTCGACTCACAAGTCACCTCGGTTGGCACATGAGATGAGATAACAGGTAACTGGAGCATGGAGCATCAACGCACACAAGGTATCTACAACATTTTGGAGTTACTACAATTGAAATAAAAACTATGCATGGTTACAAACCTTTTGACAACAACTCGCATCGTCCCTGTAGTACCTGCTTTGGCAGGGTTTATATTCCCTGCTAGGCAATCCGAGAGGCGCAGCAGCCCATTAGAGTCAACATCTTGGCTGCAAGCCAAAAGGTCAGAGATTTCTTCTACCTTCTAAGTCTTCGTATCTCACTCAGTCCCTGTTCGATGTACGAGGACTGAGTGAGATACGAACGGGGACTGAGTGAGATACGAACGGGGACTGAGTGAGATACGAACGGGGACTGAGTGAGATACGAACGGGGACTGAGTGAGATACGAACGGGGACTGAGTGAGATACGAACGGGGACTGAGTGAGATACGAACGGGGAATGAGTGAGATACGAACGGGGACTGAGTGAGATACGAACGGGGACTGAGTGAGATACGAATGGGGACTGAGTGAGATACGAACGTGGACTGAGTGAGATACGAATGGGGACTGAGTGAGATACGAACGGGGACTGAGTGAGATACGAATGGGGACTGAGTGAGATACGAACGGGGACTGAGTGAGATACGAACGGGGACTGAGTGAGATACGAACGGGGACTGAGTGAGATACGAACGGGGACTGAGTGAGATACGAACGGGGACTGAGTGAGATACGAACGGGGACTGAGTGAGATACGAATGGGGACTGAGTGAGATACGAACGGGGACTGAGTGAGATACTAACGGGGACTGAGTGAGATACGAATGGGGACTGAGTGAGATACGAACGGGGACTGAGTGAGATACGAATGGGGACTGAGTGAGATACGAACGGGGACTGAGTGAGATACGAACGGGGACTGAGTGAGATACGAACGGGGACTGAGTGAGATACGAACGGGGACTGAGTGAGATACGAACGGGGACTGAGTGAGATACGAACGGGGACTGAGTGAGATACGAACGGGGACTGAGTGAGATACGAACGGGGACTGAGTGAGATACGAACGGGGACTGAGTGAGATACGAACGGGGACTGAGTGAGATACGAATGGGGACTGAGTGAGATACGAACGGGGACTGAGTGAGATACGAACGGGGACTGAGTGAGATACGAACGGGGACTGAGTGAGATACGAACGGGGACTGAGTGAGATACGAACGGGGACTGAGTGAGATACGAACGGGGACTGAGTGAGATACGAATGGGGACTGAGTGAGATACGAACGGGGACTGAGTGAGATACGAATGGGGACTGAGTGAGCGTGCAATGATATCTTCCGCGATGTGCCCGTTCGCAGTACCCGCTTAATGGAAATGATATCTCCCGCGAAGCAAGCCGATAAGCACAGACACCCAATGGTGGTAAAGTCAGGCTGCAGTCCTTCCTTCAGCATCAGTGCATACAGCTCCATAGACTTGTTGTGATCCACTTGCGTGGAAATAGCAAGGAGGAAATTGAGGATGACTGTGCTTGCTGGCATTCCCTCGGCCCTCCTCCTGTGATAAAACTGCAGTGCGTTATTGAGGCTGTGTGATGGGAATTCATGTGTTTGAGGAGAGGGAAAAGCAGGGGTTGAGGGGAGGAGGAGGGGGGGGAAGAGGGGAAGAGAAGGAAGGGGGGGGGGGAGAGGAAGGGAGGAGGAAAGAAAGATAGGAGAGAGGAGTTGGGAAAGGACGTGGCAAGGACACCCCTGTGTCAGGGTAGAAGAAAGGATGAGGCGACACCAGAAACAACAGCTGCAGCAGCGGGCTCACAGAACCAAACCAGCGGGCTCACAGAACCAAACCAGCGGGCTCACAGAACCAAACCAGCGGGCTCACAGAACCAAACCAGCGGGCTCACAGAACCAAACCAGCGGGCTCACAGAACCAAACCAGCGGGCTCACAGAACCAAACCAGCGGGCTCACAGAACCAAACCAGCGGGCTCACAGAACCAAACCAGCGGGCTCACAGAACCAAACCAGCGGGCTCACCGAACCAAACCAGCGGGCTCACCGAACCAAACCAGCGGGCTCACCGAACCAAACCAGCGGGCTCACCGAACCAAACCAGCGGGCTCACCGAACCAAACCAGCGGGCTCACCGAACCAAACCAGCGGGCTCACCGAACCAAATCAGCAGGCTCGCAGAACCAAACCAGCGGGCTCACCAAACCAAACCAGCGGGCTTACCAAACCAAACCAGCGGGCTCACCAAACCAGCGCACTGTCTGCCTCTGCTGCTGGATCAAATGATTCGATGAGGTTGTTCAGCATATCCAAAAAGTGCTTCAAACTCAGAAGCTGCTCTAGAACCTGGCGGACGCACACATGCACGCAGGACAAACAAACGTTGTGAGGGGGGGGAGGGGGGACGGCATTTGACAAGTAGAGCTTGGAACGTTTGAAAGCACGTCAGACTCGATAAGGCTGCCATTGGCTTATCCAGATTGACTTTGCTCTTAGAAGCTGCTCTACCACCTGGTGGGTGAACACATGCACGCACGCAGGACAAACAAACGTTGTGAGGGTTGGTGGGGTTGGGAAGGGTGGGGCGGGGGGCATTTGACAACTACAACCTGGACAGACGTTGCTGGGGGCATGTCATGTGAAACAGGTATAGACATGCTATGTGTCCTCCCTCCTCACTCGTTTGACATTTGAATAAACCTCCACAAGTTTCGATTTCTACTCACCATCCGTTCCACCTACACTCCCACTCCCTTCCCCTCCCCTCCTATCCTCCCTCTCGAATGAGCTAGGTGACTTTAAAGTCGACTCAAAATACACTCCCTCTCCCTTAGCCCCCCCACCCCCCTCTCCTCCCCTCCTTCCTCTCGAATGAGCTAGGTTGGAATAGCATCGACGAGAACACATGTGACGCTTGAAAAGCTACTTGTGAATGGGAATAGCAGAAAACAAATTTGAAGAGCCGCAGCTACCAACCAACACGGACACACACATATAATGATATGTTTATACATGAATACATATACATAGAATGCATACATATAGAAATACATATCTATAATACACATATGGAATATCTATATACTCTCCTCACCTCTTCACAAAATTTAGGCCAGTGGCAGCTGAGAGAAGGCTTGTGTTACTCCTGAGGTGAGATCTGGATTTGACACAAGAATAGCCCACCCACTCACCTCTTGATCGACTTTCTGCCCCGGTGTCCCCTGCAGCGATGATGTCGATCGTGCGTCTGTGATTCTGGTAGGTTGATTTTGGACGACCCGGGGGAGAGGAGAGAAGGAAGGGAGTAGGCGGGGGAGGGAAGTGGGGGAGGAGGAAAGGGAAGGAGGTGGGGTGGTGAAGGGGGACGAAGGAGGAGGAGGCGACTAATATAAAGACTGGACAGAGGGCCAATGGGACGAACGAAAGGGCAACACAGAGAGAGCGTTAGTGAGTTAATTGGGCACAACAATTGAGGTGAGTAATGAATGCGTCCATGCACAGCGCTGGTTGGGCAACGCAAAAAGAAAACACCAACTGGTTACTAATACCACCCATCAAGGCCACCCACCCACCCCGTCCCACCTGTTGTCAAGAGGGCGGGAGGTTTGAAAGTTCTCCTCCAGTGATAGGCCTGCAAACAGCTCCTCCAACTGATCCCTCATCTTCAACAGCTCCTTGAGCACCTGGTGACCAGGAGGGAGGGATGCAGGCAGGCAGGGACGCGGGGAGGAGGAGAGATTTCTAGGGACGCGGGGATGAGGCATGGGGCAGTTTTCTAGGCGCCTCAAGGATTGCTTCATCACTGGCAGGAGGGAGGTGTGAGAGTGGGAGTGTGGTCCGCGTATGAGAGGCCTGCAAAGGACGTCTCCAGCTCATCCCTCAGCTTCAAAAGGATCGTTTTATGCCTGGTGGCCAGCAGGGGTGCAGGCGGAGGAGGAAAGATATCCAGTTCATTTTAGCAGGCGCATAAAAAATAGCCTTACTCACCTCATCACTGGTGTGGGAGAGGGATGCAGGAGGAAAGAACGGCTTGGGACGGCATGGGATGAGAGTGTTCTGAAAGCTCTGGAAACACTAGTCCTTGAATGCCTGGAGGAGAGAGAGATTAGAAGGCATAAAGAGAAAACAATCTGCAAAAAAATGCCAACCTCCTTCCACCACTCACTCTCCGGTCTCTTTTCCATTTCACTTGCCATAGATCACTCACTTCTTCTTTTTTCCGTATTTTCCTCCCCTTCTCCACCATCTGAGAGCCATCATCGCCACCCATTTGCCGTGGTCCTCCTCCAAGCCGTGACCCCTCCCCCATGCCCGTCGGGACTGCTGCCTGCTGTGCTGACGAGAACGACGACGATGCGGAAGTGGCGCTGATTGGTTGGATGAAATCCAGAGGGATGAAAGGGAGTTCAGCGTTTGAAGCGATGTGGGGGTTGATGGCGCGGGGGTTAGTAGCTGAAGATGAAAGGATGTTCCGAAGGACATGGTCACCAAGACGGTGGAATGCGATAGTTGAAGTTGAATTGACCTTTCAGACCTTAAGGGACAAAACACTAACGATTGGGAAAGATCTGGAGTTAATTTCAGGCGAGCGTAGGGGGAGGTCAGGAGGGGAAGTTTAGATCCATTGAAGACGCCTTCTTGGAAAAACAAAACAGTGTGAATACCTCAGGTCCTGTCTGAATTGGTGCCTGGGAATGTTCGCAACCACGGTCTTAATAAGCTCTGACGACTTGGAGCCTGACCTGACAATTGCATTCTTAAGGGGTCGCCGAGCAGACCAAGCACCGCGAGGAAAGAAACGAGGCTGCTAGACATGTGGATGATCGCGTGGAAACGGGAATTAGGGACGGAGCGACAGGTGACCAGAGGGAAATCATTTCCACATGATGTGGAGAGAATGACAATGCGAGGTGAGGCGTACGGGAAGCAGAATGCGAAGAAAGCGAAAAGGAGTGAGGTAATGGGAAGGAGAGGACCAGGACCAGGTTTAACGGAAGAAGCGAATTGGATTAATAATGCGATGGTGCTCGCGAAAACTTTCTAGGTTGTTGGTGTTTCCAGTCATACCTGGTTGTTCTGCTTGGACGACAGGCGGCTCGCGTCACGCGCTGGCGAGACGCGGACACACGTCGACGACTGACTGCGGAACAACAACGCCGCCATGCCGCTGGGATTGTGGAAAACGCAGGCTATGCGAAGCAGACTGGAAGGCAGGTCTTAGAGAGGGAAATGGCTGCACTCTTATTTCTACATAAGCGGTAATCTACAGTGTGGAACCCAAGCTGTGGATGCTCAGGGCGTGTGCAGTGGCCTTCTCCTACGAGAGATGTGTTGATTATGAAGCGACGGATGAAATCTGCGACCTAAATTTTCCCAGTCTTTGGTAAGGCCCAGTTCGGCAGGCATTATTGAAATGGCCTCGGCGGTTGGGCTACAGTGAAATGACCACCCTGGAGCCTTCTTAGATAAGCGCGTGAATGATTATCAAGGCTCGATATAAGCGGATCTACGCTGAGCCTGACAATAATGGATGCCTCCCGAACAGCCCTTTTTGTGCAGGCATTTTCACCCAACGGAAGCTTCCACGAGCCCAGTTTCTCGGGCAAAGTGCCCATTTTTTAATCCGCCGCACCATGCGGCTTCGAGGCCCCGCACCATGCGGGGAAAGTGATTCGAAGCATTAAACAGTGTCTGGTCAAATATCTTAGCCAATCACATGATCGCTTGATCCATCTGAGAAACTGCCTACCATCTTCTGCGAAACCAAAATTTCGGTTGGCGCCATCAATCTACACCCAATAAATGCCAGCCGAACAGTCAGCCCGTTTTTTTGAAGGTGCACCCCAGCTACTGTCCGATTTCGAAGCTGTTTCCAAAAAATGCCCATGGGGTATTTTTTGGGGGCCCGTTAAAAATGCCCATAATGGCCATAATGCCTGCCGAACCGGGCCTAAGTGTCGCCCTCGTTCGTAAACAAGTGGAGATGAAACACGTCCTCCCTGTTGTTCACGCCTCTTCTCGAAACTGATGGACTCAGAAGATCTCGAAATTGAACACCTGGATTGGCCAGATGCAGCCACGCATGGCTGCCACAAATCCTCGTCCTCCGTCCCAGTTCATTGGGTGTGTCACATTATTACTGGTTATCCTCGTCAGGTGAGGAGTTCGCGCCTAACTATACCCAATCAACAAGCACGAGCCTTGATAGTACAGTCACCAATCACGGAACTGTATCTGCTACTCCTTTGAGTTTGTTCCCAATGCCACGTCATCGGACATTCTATGACTTGAAGGGTGGTTACAACCATTTTTCCTGCCCGCAACGGCCATTCTGAAGACTATTGGAGGAAATGTACCATTTGTTCCGCTGGTGGGTAGCTATATCGGTAGCTGTGTGAGGTGCCATCCAGTGATTTGCTTCTTCGGGAAATATGAGTGATAGGAATCGAGCTTCCCATTCGGATGATGAACTCTCCGATTTTCCGTATTTCTGGACTCACAGAAAAGGGTACTTTCTATCTCGCTACCAGGCATTCAAAAACTTTTCCGTTTTGTGGCCCCCCTCCTCCTCACTTCCCTCTCACACTCCTACTGCTCTTGCCCACTGTTCCATCCATCATTCATTCTCTCTGTCCTCTGTTCTCTGTTTCCGTTCTGAAAATGACCTAGAGCTCTGGAAGTAGTCATTTTGTTTCTAGAACCACCCCGGAGGCGGACTTGAATGCAGTAATTGGAAGTCTATTAACTTCTTTTTCGACGTGCAGAATCTCTATTGTTTGTTCCGCGAGAGAATTCATCGCCTTATAGCATTTCACGTCCGTGCCTCACAGCAGCGGTAGCCATGGCGCAGGTTCTACGGTTCGGAGCGCTCTCCATCCACAACGCAAACATCGCGACCAGACCTTTTCAAACCGCCAATTTCGCTAGACCATCTTCGCGAAAGTTCGCACGGCGATGCGTGCGAGTGCAGGCGAAGCAACAGGACGACCTACCACCATCGGAGATGACCTACCAGAACGCGCTGGACCTGCTGGGGGTGAGGGAGGGAGCGACGTTCGACGACATCCTGCGAGCGAAGAAGCGAATTACAGACCCAGGCACCGCCGATCAGGAGCTTCTTCTGAGGGTAAGCACTGGTTCTTTTGTAACGCTGTTTTTACAGAGCGCTGATACTCCCGGTAAGAGGTCTCATTTGCAGGTTGAGTCGACTCAAAATCCATAGCGCTATCAATGCAAAGCGCGAAAACATCAGGTAAGAGGTTTTTTTCGCTGGGAGGAATTGCGACGTGTTGGACAATCAATTGAGTATTTTTCAACCAGGTAATATTCCCTCTCGTGAGACGGAAATTGAGGACTTTCGGGATCAGATTGAGGAGCATCGCTCGTGACTAAAGAGATGTTCCAGTAGTCTTTTGTGAAACGGTCATGTCAAAACGGTCATGTTGAACGATTGGAGAGGTAAGACAAACTTGGTAACCGCGGCTTTGTTGGTTATTGCACACTATACTGTTTAATGAACGGTTGTTGATACGATCCAAACATGGCTTCAACATGTGGCAATTCGCGTGGTACCGTAGGTGAAACGACGACTCTCTTCATTGTTGTTGCCTTTCCCTTTCTCTTCCCAACCCCCCGCAGGTCGAAGCAGCGTGCGACATTCTCCTTATGCAGTCCCTCTCCCGGCGCCGTTCCTGCGAGGTAGCAGACAATTGCGTGCGATTCTTTCTCATTTTATTTCCTTCATTCTCTGATTCCCCTCCTACCCCCCGCAGGTCGAAGCAGCGTACGACATTCTCCTCATGCAGTCCCTCTCTCGGCGCCGCTCCGGCGAGGTCGTCGACAGCAGCGTGCGCTTCGCGGACGTGCAGAAGCCCCGCCCGCCCGCCCCGCCTTCCTGGCTGCAAAAGGCCCTCAAATCCTCGCCGGTCGCCGTCACCACGCCCAACACCAGCACCAGCAGCGGCAGCCAGGCGCTCGCCGTGCAATCCGCGGTCTTCGCGTCGCTGCTCATCTGGACGTACGCCTCGGGATTGTCGTCGGGGTCGGATCTGGGCGGGTCGTTGTACGGGCCCGCGGCGACGGGAGGGGATGTGCCGGGGCTGCAGCTGGCGCTGGCGTTTGGATGGGCGCTGTACTCGCTGCGGAAGGAAGGCGTTGGGATGGGTGAGTGGGGGTCAAGAGGTGTTTGCGTGCATGGCGGGTGAAAGGTGAAGTGAGTGCGTATGGCAAGGTTTGTGCGTGGGTGGACGAGTGTGAACGAAGACCAAATTGTGGCGTCTAGAAGTTTGTCATGCTACATAGAGGAATAATGGCGTGGGAATTGGTGAGTGTTAGAGCATGAGTGATTGTCCCAGACCTACCTTGGGATCGTCCCTGGTTTCAGAAGAGCTGGGGGATCATGGTCGTGGGAATGTACTGGCGTGGCAAGTATCGTACCGACGGTTTACACCCGAGTATCAAAGTAGTGTGGTGTATTGCTGTGAGATTGATGAGTGGGTGAGTGGATATGGGGGCAAACACGCATTCTCTCTCTCTTCCTCTCTCCCCCCCCATCTATCTCCTCTCCTCCCAACCGCCCTCTCCCTTCCAACACTCTCTCTCCCCCCACCACTCTCTCCGGCATCAGGGTTGGTAGCATCAGAATTGGCAGCGTCAGTAGAGAAGTTATTGCTGGGAGCAGTGGAGGAGTACTTTATGGCACTTGGATCCTGAAAGGTCCATCCGCTCTCTCTTTCTCTGGCTCTCTCTCTCTCTTTCTGTGGCTCTCTCTCTCTCTTTCTCTGGCTCTCTCTCTCTCTCTCTTTCTCTGGCTCTCTCTCTCTCTCTTTCTCTGGCTCCCTCTCTCTCTTTCTCTGGCTCTCTCTCTCTTTCTCTGGCTCTCTCTCCCTTACTCTCCCACTGCTCACAGGCAAGGCACTGGGGCTGTCAACAGGGGGGCTCGTGCTGGGAGCAGTGGTGGACAGTCTGGTGTATCCTGGTTGCAGTTCAACATCTCTCCCCTGCTCGGACGTGTCCTTAAGTCCCACTCTTTCTCTCTCTCTCTCTCTCTCTCTCTCTCTCTCTCTCTCTCTCTCTCTCTCTCTCTCTCTCTCTCTCTCTTATTTTTTCCCCCTCACCATTGGCAGGCAAGGCAGCAGGGTTGTCGACAGGGGGGCTTGTGCTGGGAGCAGTGGTGGGCAGTCTGGTACAGGCCTGGTTGCGAGTCGACATCTTTCCCCTGCTCGGCATCGGCTCCCCTGCCGTCCTCATTAGTGAATTCTCCATTATCAACCTCTGGCTCGCCGCTGTCTTCCTGCGCTGATCTCCCTCAAGTGAATAACTTCCCAGTGGCAGCTGAAGGCGCCCTTTCCTTTGGGCCCTTGCTGCTGTCGTGGTTATACAGGAAAATCGTGCTGGTTACTTGTGTGCATGAAGAAGCTGGCCTTATGCCAGCTGGTGTAGCGGTGCCCAGTTAGGCAGATATAGATGTGTGCTTGTTTTTGGTAAGTGTGTGCTAGTTTATGCCTCAGTGTGTACAGATACTGCATGGCGATGCTAGGAAAAAACCCTCCCCTTTGCTGCCGAACCATGTTGTGTGTGGGATGGGAGTGTTTTATTATGGAAGCTCCATTGTGGAGCCATCTTGGTGTGTGAACATGTTCCCTTGTGACAGGCTCCACTATGCAGCATATAGAGTAGCCTCTCTTGAATGGCACGAAATGCTTTAGCTGCCTCGCTAATCAACCATACGGTACGCGTACACCTCTACAGCCAGGTGTGACCCATGGCCATGCTCTTAGTGAGTGCATGAGATTCTTCCTCACCAGTGTTGGGCTGAGAAGCCCTAGGATCTTTATAGAGTTAAAGGCTGAGTAGGATTGTAATAGCGGAAGCGTTAAATAAGAGATCTTGAACCACCTTGCGCTGGTATGTGAGGGCAAAGTGAAGTTGATTAAAGCAAACAAGTACAAGGCTTTATATAGGAGTACAAGGAATACGAATAGATGAGATAACTGTTTGCTGTTGCGATTCGATACAGTGCGACTCGGGCAACTGCTCAATGTCGAGTCAGTTGGGTGTCCTTACTGTCGCGCTGTATTGGTCAAGTCAAAGGTCGCTGGTCTTTGACCTTCGTGTAACCTCCAGGCGGTTACTCCCAACCTCCGAGGGTTGACTCGCGATGC